CCCCCGCTCCAGGAAGGGGCTCTGTCAGAATCTGGGGAGAGATTCAGACCCAGAGGGGGCAAGCTGTGTGTCCTAGGTAATATTGGGGCCCAGCCAGGATGAGTGGGGAGCCTTGGGAGCCTTTGCCTGGCCTGGGCAATGGGTCAGGTGTGGGGAGAAGTGTGGCTCCTGCCTCCATGTCTGGACCTCCAACATGGTGTGACCCCTTCTTCCACCCAGAACTTTGGCCGGAAGGTCTTCTCGCCCGTGATCCGTTCCTCCTTCACACACTGCCGTCCACCTCTGGACCCTGAGCCCCCTGGACCCCCAGACCCCTCTGCTGCTTTTGGCAAGGGCTATGGCCCCACCCCGTCTTCGTCTTCGCCTGCCGCGGTCACCTCCACCTCGGCAGCCCCCTCCTTCTCTCTGGGCTCAGGAACCTTCAAGACACAGGAGTCTGGGCCGGCCAGCACAACAGGCCCTCTCCGGCCCCCGGCCCTGGGGCCTGGGGGCCCTGTGACCCCCTCCAAGGCCACCCGGTTCCTCCCAGCAGACCCTGCCACCTTCCGACGCAAGAGACCTGAAAGTGTGGGGGCCCTGGAGCCCCCAGTCCCCTCGGTCATTTCTGTGCCCCCTGGCAGTGGAGCAGGAAACCTCCTGCAGACACTGGTCTTGCCCCCGAGCAAGGAAGACCGGGAGGGCAGCAGGGCACGAATGCCCTCTGCCCCGGCCCCGTCGCTGGCCTATGGGGCTCCCACAGCCTCCCTGTCTCGCCCGGCTGCCACCACGGTCACTAATGTGGTGCGGCCGGTCAGCAGCACTCCCGTGCCCATTGCCTCTAAGCCCTTCCCCACCGTTGGCCGGGCTGAGGTGGCACCAAGTGACACAGCAGGTGCCAGGACTGAGCCGGGCACTGGGTCCCGAGCTCCTGGGGGCTCCCCGATTGGTGTCAGCTTGGTGTACTCGGACAGGAAGTCCACAGCAGCCACCTCACCAGCCCCACACTTGGTGGCTGGGCCCTTGCTGGGCACTGTGGGAAAGGCACCTGCCACCGTCACCAACCTGCTGGTGGGCAGCCCAGGCTACGGGGCTCCGGCGCCCCCTGCTGTCCAGTTCATTGCCCAAGGGGCCCCTGGCAGCGGACCCTCCTCAGGCTCAGGAGCAGGTGCTGCGAGTGGCCCCAATGGGCCGGTGCCCCTGGGCATCCTGCAGCCGGGCACCCTGGGCAAGGCTGGGGGAATCACGCAGGTGCAGTACATCCTGCCCACACTGCCCCAGCAGCTCCAGGTGGCACCTGCACCTGCAACCGCTGCTGGGGCCAAGGCGGCAGCTCCCAGTGCCCCCGCACCTACCACCAGCATCCGCTTCACCCTCCCGCCGGGCGCCTCTACCAACGGCAAGGTCCTGGCTGCCACTGCACCCACGCCCGGTGGCATCCCCATCCTGCAGTCCGTCCCTTCCGCCCTGCCCCCTAAAGGTGAGGTCTGGGCTGGGCAAGTGCCAGAAGGGCAGCAGTAGTCTGGCCGGCTTGCCTGGGCTGCCGCTGACCCACCCTGCTGTCTGTCCACTTGCAGCCCAGTCCGTGTCGCCAGTGCAGGCCCCGCCTCCCGGTGGCTCCGCCCAGCTGCTGCCAGGAAAGGTCCTGGTACCACTGGCAGCCCCAGGCATGTCTGTGCGGGGTGGAGGGGCCGCCCAGCCATTGCCTCTGGTGAGCCCACCCTTCTCAGTACCTGTGCAGAACGGAGCCCAGCCCACCAGCAAGGTGAAGATTCCCTGCCTGTGTCCCTGCCTCGCCCTTCTTGCTTACCTATGTGTCCTTTTCCTTGGAAATGCTGGTTTTCTTTCTGTCTCCTTTCCTTCCTTCTTTGTCTGCACGCCCCCTTGTTGCCTTGTCTCCTGCTCTCCCTCTGCCCTCTCCTCATTCCAAGCCCTGCATTTCCTGCCTGCCCCCTCCCCACCCCACCCCCAGTCCCATCCAGTCTCACTCACACCTGTTCGTGGGTGCTCTCCCCTGTAGATCATCCAGCTGACGCCTGTGCCCGTGAGCACCCCCAGCGGCCTGGTGCCGCCTTTGAGCCCGGCTGCGCTCCCAGCCCCCACCTCCCAGCCCCAGAAGGTCCTACTGCCCTCTTCCACCAGGTACTCCAGGCCCGGCCAGAGGCAGGGGCGGGGTGGATCCAGCCCCTCCGACTCATTTCTCCCTGTCCCCTCCCTGCGGCAGGATCACCTACGTGCAGTCAGCTGGGGGGCACGCGCTGCCCCTGGGCACCAGCCCTGCATCGAGCCAGGCTGGGGCAGTGACCTCCTATGGGCCCACGAGCTCTGTGGCCCTGGGTTTTACCTCTCTGGGACCCAGTGGTCCTGCCTTCGTGCAGCCCCTGCTCTCAGGTGAGGGGGTCTGGCAGGCAGGGCTGGGGACCAGGGTGGGGCTGGGGCCCTCCAGACGGGCTGTGATTTGAGTCCCTCTCTCTCTGCCTCTCCCTCACCCTCCCGGCAGGCCAGACTCCGCTGTTGGCTCCTGGCCAGGTGGGCGTGTCGCCTGTGCCCAGCCCTCAGCTGCCTCCTGCCTGTGCAGCCCCCGGAGGCCCCGTCATCACGGCCTTCTACCCTGGCAGCCCTGCACCCACCTCCTCAACGCCCTTGGCCCAGCCATCCCAGGCCCCCCCTAGCTTGGTCTACACTGTGGCCACCAGCACCACGCCCCCTGCCGCCGCCATCCTGCCCAAGGGCCCGCCTGCCCCCGCAACTGCCACCCCAGCCCCCACCAGCCCCTTTCCTAGTGCCACAGGTGGGTGCCAGGCTCCCCCAGCATGGGGTGGGGAGGAGAAGGGGGTGGAGGGCTGGTGGTGGTACAAGCTCCAGTCTCCGGCCTCACCCAAGGAATGCTCTTCTCTACCCGCCCGCAGGTTCTATGACCTACAGTTTGGTGGCTCCCAAGGCCCAGCGGCCAGCCCCCAAGGCCCCTCAGAAAGTGAAGGCGGCCATCGCCAGCATTCCCGTGGGCTCCTTTGAGGCAGGGGCCCCTGGGCGGCCTGGCCCTGTGTCCCGGCAGCCCCTGGATCCTGGGCCAGCCCACGAACCAATGGCCCCCGAGGCTGAGCTGGAGGGGCAACCGACAACACCTGCCCCACCACCCTCCCTGGAGACCTGGGCACCCACAGCCCGGAGCAGCCCCCCACCGCTCCCACTCCCACCTGCCGAGGAGCGGGCTGGCACCAAGCCCCCCGAGAGCCTGGTGAGCGCTGTGGACAGCTGTCGGGGCAGGGCAGAGAAGAGCTCCTCCTGAGGCCTCTGCCGGTCTGTCTGTCTGTTCATCCAAGCTGGCCCTGCGTGTCTCTGGGGCTAAAGAACTCTTCCCTGAGGCCCCTCCCGCTTGTCTCTGCCATAACCCTTCCCATGTGACTGGATGCTTCTCGGAGGCTGTCTGGCTGACCCCAGGTTTCTGGTCTGTAACCTCTCCAGCCTCAGGCTCCTCCCTCCTCTGTCTCTCCCTGCCCAGGCCCCACTCCAGGGCGGCAAATTCCCCAGCTCATCTTCAGATTGGCGTGTCCCAGGGCTGGGCCTGGAGAGCCGCGGGGAGCCCCCTGCCCCTCCCAGCCCTGCCCCAGCTCCAGCCCCCAGCGGCAGCAGTGAGGGCAGCAGTGGGCGGCCGGCCGGGGAGACCCCGGAGCGCAAGGAGGCACCGAGTGCCGGCAAGAAGGTGAAGGTGCGGCCCCCGCCCCTGAAGAAGACCTTTGACTCAGTGGACAAGTGAGCATGGCCTGGCTGGCTGGGCGGAGTGTGGTGGGGGGGGGCCGGCGGGAGATGGGGAGGCCAGGATGGGGGCAGGGGCAGTGACCCTACGGGCTCTCCAGCAGGGTCCTGTCAGAGGTGGACTTTGAAGAGCGCTTTGCTGAGCTGCCCGAGTTCCGGCCCGAGGAGGTGCTGCCCTCTCCCACCCTGCAGTCTCTGGCGACCTCCCCCCGCGCCATCCTGGGCTCCTACCGCAAGAAGAGGAAGAGCTCCACGGACCTGGATTCGGCGCCGGAGGACCCCACCTCGCCCAAGCGCAAGATGAGGAGGCGCTCCAGCTGCAGCTCAGAGCCCAACACCCCCAAGAGCGCCAAGTGCGAGGGAGACATCTTCACCTTTGACCGGCCAGGTACTGGCGCCGAGTCGGCCAAGCTGGGGTGCCCTCGCGTCCTCCCCGTGGAGGGGGCTCTCCGGGAGGGAGGGCGTGGGTGCTGAGCCTGTGCCCCCCCGCGCCCAGGCACGGAAGGTGAGGACGTGCTGGGCGAGTTGGAGTACGAGAAGGTGCCCTACTCGTCCCTGCGCCGCACCCTGGACCAGCGCCGCGCCCTGGTCATGCAGCTCTTCCAGGACCACGGCTTCTTCCCCTCAGGTGAGCGCCCCCACAGGGCGCATCTGGACGGGGGCCCTGACTGCACCCCTCCCCTGCCCACCCTCACACCCCTGCCTCTCCCCGCAGCCCAGGCCACAGCTGCCTTCCAGGCGCGCTACGCGGACATCTTCCCGTCCAAGGTGTGCCTGCAGCTGAAGATCCGAGAGGTGCGCCAGAAAATCATGCAGGCCGCCACACCCACCGAGCAGCCCCCAGGGGCCGAGGGCCCCCTGCCCGGGCCGCCCCCAACTGGCACCGCTGCTGCCCCTGCTCCAGTGCCCAGCCCTGCAGCTGGGGGCCCTGACCCCGCCTCCCCTGGCTCAGACTCTGGCCAGAGCCCGGCCGCCCCACCACTGCCTCTACCCCTTGAGTCAGGGCCCGGACAGCCTGGCTGGGAGGGGGTCCCCCAGTCCTCCCCACCGCCGCCGCTGCCCTCTGGCTCCTCCACAGCCGCCACGGGCAGGTGAGGGGCTCCTGAGAAGGTCCCAGGACCTGAAGTGCCCCCTCAGGACACAGGCAGCATGTTGGTGGCAAGAATGGGGGCGTGGTAAAGATGGTGACTTCCCTCTCCCCCATAAAGCCATTTCGTCCTTTGGCGTGAGGGGCGGAATGAAGCCTGCTCCTGTGCCGGGGGGCAGCAGGGCCCCACCTCCCGCCCCGCCCTATACATAACCTGGAGGGTGTCACCTTCAGATGGTTTATGCAAATTGGCTCGTGTGAGGGCGGCACGCTGGAGGGGGGTGTGGGCCCCGGGCCCCTGGGAGGCATCTGTGCAGTAGGGGGGGAAGTTCATGGCCCCCTCGTGTTCCCCAGAGGGGCTGGACTCAGGTTAGTTTTGGGGGCGGGGGCTCCTGCACTTTGCCACAGGCACGGGAGGGCTCGCTCCCCACCCCCTCTGCCTTCCCAACTTGGGTTGTACTTTCTAAGAAGGTGATTCCCTCCCCCTCCCCACCCCAGAACAAAACATGTTGATCATGTGCAATATTTCTTACTGTGCCGAAGCAGCAATGACCGAGATTAAAGCTGTTTAACACACCTGGGAGGCTGCCTACTTTCAAAGGGCGAGGGCACCAGGGGGGTGGGCAGGGAGCTCCTGTGGGCATACCCCCACTCCCTGGGATCCAGGCAGCCTTGACCGAGAGCTTCAGAAAGTGCCATGGCCCTGAGTGTCAGTAGCAGGCAGTTGCCACCGTAAAGACTTCCAAGGTTGTCTGTGACTGGGCTTGAAGCTCCAATCTTTGGGGTAACATGTTAACCCTTTACATCCCTCAGAGTCTCCTGCCACGCACACTGGTCTCCCAAAGGGGGACACCCCCCCTCCCAGCCCACTGGGTGGCACTAGCAGGTTGAGAGCTACGCTTTATCCTGGGTTGTGGGCTAGAGTACCAAAGGCGTAATGGCCCGGGGGTGCTGAGTAGGTTTTCCCCCTGAAATGGAACAGTAGTTTGGGAACCTGGGCACGAAAGAAAGGGCTCAGAGAGGGAGGCCGGCCGGCTGGTCAGCCTAGGTAGTGCTGAGGTGACTCCTGCCCCCGTGTGGCCTGGGACAGCACTGCAGGCAGGCAGGTGGCGCTCCCTGGTACCACCCCTCCTACTCAGGCTGTCCACACAATACCCTCTGGAGCTGTCTACCTGCAGAGAAGGACCGTGCGGGGGTGGGGGTGGGGGTGTCAGGGAGCCCCGGGGAAGGATAGCCTCTAAGCTGGGAGTAGAGCCGCAGAAGGCTCCCACTCAAGACAGATGCCATCGAGCAGTAGGTTTGCATTGTGACCCTACAAGACAGGGTACAACTATCCCTGTGGGTTTCTGAGGCTCCCCCTCTATGGGGCAGGAGAAAGCCTCATCCTTTCTCCTGTGGAGCGGCTAGTGGTTTTGAACTGCTGACTGCAGTTAGCAGCCTAAGCCTCACCCACAAGGGCACCTTCCAGGAGGTTCTGGGAGTGTGATGCTGTGCAGTTTCAGCCTGTGGACTCAGAGTGACTGACCCTACAGGCAGAATAGAGCTGCCCGGGAAGGTATGAGGCAGACTCAGATGGCAGCAGTGCCCCCAGGGCACCTGCCTTGGAGGGTAGTGGTGGGTTCATCTCAAGTGTTCCTCGTGGGTAGTGCCTGCGTAGAGCAGGGGATGGGGACAAAGCACCCGCCCAGAAAGCCTTGGGTAAGTGCTGACGCCCTTGGGGCTGCACTGGAAATGCCTGGGGAGCTGCAAACTTGCAGAGACAAGGGTGGAAGACCGGCTGGGTGGGCTCAGTCGTAAGGCAAAAGGCAGGAGGCTGAGGTGGGAGAATTTAATGTGTGGAAAGGCAGGTAGGTGGCTTAGGGGGTAGGCTCCAGCAGGGGGGCGCCCTGGCCTTGGTCTTGGGCCAGCAGGCGCAGGAGCAGGGAGTGCAGGGTCCGGCAGACAGGTGTGTAGCCCAGGCGGCTCAGATGCAGGTAGTCATACATGTCGTGGTGGCTTATGGTGCCATCTGAGTGCACGAAGCCAGGGTCGGCGTCCAGGAAGTGGGCCCGGGGGTGGCCGGCCAAGGCCCCCCGCACCAGCTCATTCACCCGGCGGTTCTTCTCCCGAAGCTGGTTGGGGTGCTGGCCCCGTGGGAGCAGGCCCTGGTGAGGAGGGGCCAAGAGAGAGCCGAGATGTTCCACCCAGCAGGTGGGCATCCTCTTGCTGCTCTAACTCCACTCCCTGGCCCCAGGAAGTTCATGGCAACAGCCTACCCTAGGGTGATAGCAGGGGGTGGGGAGGATATTCTGATGTCACCCCCCCAGACCCTATTCAATAGGGTGTTGCTTCTTTCCACATGACACAACAATGAACAAAGCGCTCGTCCTGGATTCACTCCCAGAGGGAGGTGGTACTTCAGTCTGGCAGCACCCGCTTAGCCAAAGGTGCTGTCACCAGGCACCAGTGCTCAGATAAGAATAGCAAGCCTTACCATGAGCTTCTGCCCCCAAACCTGTGTTGTGTGCCAGGCTGCCCAGAACCATGCCAGCTCTGGTTCTGTCTGAGGGGATCCCAACCCATCACCCGCCTAGCCTCTCACCAGCACCACGACCCGGGCCTGGGGCTGCCGCTGGTTCACCAGTTGCACAATGGCCTGAATACCGCCTGCCACCTGCTCTGCTGTGTGCCCGTGGTTGTTGGTGCCCACCCAGACCACCACGATCTGTGGGGAGAAAGGACACAAGCTGCAGTGAGAGGGCAGGTGATGGACATCCGCGCTCACCACCAGGACCCTGCTCACCTTGGGCCGAATGTGTTCAAGCTCCCCGTTCTCCAGCCGCCACAGCACATGCTGTGTGCCGTCACCGCCAATGCCGAAGTTCAGCGCGTGCAGAGGAGAGAAGAGCTCCCGCCAGATCTGTGGGCATGAAGTGGTGTGGGCTGAGGGGCACAGTCAGGGGCAAACCAACTGCCAGTAAGGGAGAGCACTGCTCTCTGAGAGCCTTCTGGCTGTAGTTGTGTGGTTGTAATGGTTGTACGGGAACTTAGTGTGCTCCTAAGTCCTGGTGATAGAGTGCTTACACATCCGGGCAGGCTGGAGGTCAGCGGTTCAAAACCTCGGAAAGAGGTGGCTTTCTACTCTTGCAAACAGTTCCGGTCTAGGAAGCCCACAGGGGACAGTTCTACCCTGTCCTGTAACCAGGGTCTCGAGGAGTCCAAGCGGACTTGATGGCTGAGTTTGAGGGAGTTTGTCACCACACTGCCGGCTGGGGACCCCCTCCACTTGACCGAGCCTTGCATTGAAACCATCCCATTGCGACAGAAAGCTATTAAGGTTGAGCCTAGCTTGGGGGAATGGGTCCAGGGGAGCCCTGCTTGGTGGATCGACCTGCATGTGGTGGGTCGCTGCTGGGTGGAAATGCGTTCATTATGTGTACACTGTTCTAAGAGGACAATGAAGAGCGATTTTGTGGCGGAAAAGCCTCATTTCAAAGTCTCAAAGGCGGTAAACAGCCTTCAGAACCGGACCAAGCCCAAGCAGGCACGTGACTTTCTCAGTAGACCTGGACCCCAGGTCGGTTCAGGTACCCCACCTACCCCCGCCTGGCTCGGGGTCTGGTCCAGGGGGCAGAAGGTGGATGGGCCTCACCTCGCACTGGTGCATCAGCTGGACCAAGGAGTCCCCGATGAAGACGACTTCGGGTTCTTTATCTTTGCTGTCGGCCACAAACCGATGGTGCTGCGGGCAAGCGCGAGGGACGTGTCGGGGGCATGCGCGCTCTGCTCCCGGGACCCGCCGCGCCCCGCCGCCTTAGGCGGCACCTCCCCGCCGCCCGCCGCTTCCCGATTGTGCAGCGAGAGCTGCCCGGGCCAACGGGCCCGTCCCTCGCGGGCCAGCCCCCCAACCCGCACTCGAGCCCCGCGAGGTCGCTCACCAGGGACATCCAGCGCCCGTCACCTTGCACGTCCTGCACCGGCGTGGGCCAGCTGGCTGGGTTCTCGGCGCTCATCTCGGCGCCGCCGTGCCCGCGGGCTGTCGCCAGGAAGATTCCCGGAGGTGGCAGCGCCACGCCCACGCCCCCCCCCCCCAGCAGACAATGGACTGGCCCGGCTCCGCTCACCGCCTCTCCTGGGCTCCGAGGAGGGGCGGGCGGGATTGTCGGCCTGCGACTTAGTCCCCTGCGGCGGCCCCGCCAGGCTGCGGCGTCGGCGAGCGCACCGGGCCTCTGGTGGGGGAGGGGGCGGGGCGGGGCACCGGCGAGACCATCTAGAACCTGGGACGGGGGGCGGGAAGCGAGAGGAGGGAGAAGCCACCTCGCCGGCCTCGTGGGGAGGAGCAAGCGGCCGGAGAAGCCGGAAGTGGGCGGGGCAAACCGCGCGCTCTTCCTAGGTGGGCGGAACCATTGTGGGGCCGGGGGTGTAGGGGGTGAAAGGAGGGAGACTTGTGCGCGAGAGACCACCTCCCGTGAGGGGTGTGCCCCATTCACGTGGTGGGGACGGGTCGAGTGGACGACTCTATTCTTGGATTCCCTGGAGGGGGGTGGCTGTGCGAGGACGCTCCCATTCCCCATTAATGTGGGGGGGGAGAACGAACGTGGCAAATGAGGCATGAACAGTTCAATTCCATGGAGACTCTGTAAGGCAGTCAGGGCTGTAGTTAACCTAGCTGCTCGTGGGCCTGCCTTACTCAAAACGCCAGCTTTCTGTGGCAAAAACGTTTCGACACCTTATCTTGGCTTTCAAGGACCTACAAGAAAAAAAAAAAAAGGAGGTGCAGATAAAAACGAAATGAGAGACGCAGGCCGGGCCCAGGTTCAGCCTGGCGTCCCTCCCGCAGCTCATTTTGCAGGGCTGGGCTCTGCTTCCCTCCCTGAACGGGCAGGTGGACCTCCCAGATCCACAGCCAAAGCCGGCTAGCATTGCCCCTGCTCAAATTTATCCCGGACTTCCTGGAACTCCCTATTCTCAGGGGCCCCCTGAGGATCTTTGCTCCTCCTTGAGCTTCTCCTCCCTCCAGCCCCCCCAACCCCAGTCTCTTTTCCGGGTGGAAACTTCACATTTATTCATTACTTCTAGGCAGGTTCAAGCCGGACATAGAGCTGAATTTATTGTGTTTATGTTCTGCCTCAGTCTATTAAAATCTGAGCTCTATGAGGGCAGGGATTTTGGTCCGTTGGTGTCTAGAACAGGGGCCACAGCGAAGGGGGGCCTTGCATATGGTGTCTGTGCACTAAGTGCTTGCTGGGTGGATGTTAAAATGAATGGGTCAGTTGAGAACGAGGAGGGTTGGAGCAGAGACCAAAACCTATCTGTAAACAATGGGACATTCCCTCACAGAATGGTCACAGGGAAGGGATGAGTCAACCAGGGTGCAGTACAGCACTGATGAAACACACTATATTCCTCTGGTTCCTTGAGGCTTCCTCAACCCCCACTATCATGACCCCAGCCCTGCCTTTCACTTCGGGCTAAACTGGAGCATGTGAAGAGGTACAGATAGAGATAAGAGCTCAGGACACATGGAATCCAGGAACAGGAATGGGAGCAGTGATACCAGGAGGGTAGGGGGAAGGTGGGGAGAGGAGGGAAGGAAGGGGGAACTGATTGCAATGAACCACACATTACCTCCTGCCCTCCACCCCCAGGACGAACAACAGAAACCATGGGGGAAGGGAGAGAGTGGTCAGTATAAGATATGAAAATAATAATTTATAATTTACCAAGGGGTCATGAGGGTAGGAGGGGTGGGGGAAAAAGAGGAGCTGATACCAAGGGCTCAAATAGAAAGTAAATGTTTAGGGAATAATGATGGCAGCATATGTATAAATATGCTTGATACAATTGATGTATGGATTGTTATTAGAGCTGTAAGAGCCCCCAAAGAAATGATCTTTTAATAAATTGTTTTAAAAAAACAAAAACCCAATGGGTCAGATTCTGACCTTGTCCAATTGTGTTGAGACAGATCCTGACACAGAGTGGAGGGAGGGAAGGTCAAGGTGGTGACTGAGGGAATCCATTTGGAAAGGGGGAGAACTTGGGGATGCGGGGTGGGTGGGTTACTTCCTAAATAACTTTTATCTGAGTGAGACTTTGAAAGGTCATGAAGAATGGATAAGCAAAATGAAAAGACAAACGAGTAACAGAGCTTACTACGAAAAGGAGAGGAAACCTGGTGACTTAGTGGTTATGTGTTGGGCTGCTAACCGCAAGGTCAACAGCTCAAAACCACCAACTGCTCCCTGGGAGAAAAATGAGATTTTCTACTCCCGTGAAGACATAACAGTCTTGGAAACCCACAAGGCACCAGGGCAGCTCTACCTTGTCCGATAGGGTTGCTTTGAGTCAGAACGGACTCTAGCAAAATCATCACTGGGCATCGCTTGCTTTTAAAGTTTGAGGGAAAGGTGTAGACAGGGAAGGTGGAACAGCAGAGAGGCAGTTCCAGAAACAAAATTTAGTGGGACGCACATTTTCGAGGCATTCATTCACTCAGCATGCATGCCTGATTTCAAGTTAGGTGTTTTGGCTTGTTGTGTCCGTTGAACAACACCTTGAGAGAAGATAGAAGGAATACACAGAGTCCCTGAACCAAAACAGTGTTGGTCGACACACAACCATTCCAAGAGGCAGCATATGAGCCAGACCACGTGGTCAGGAAGGAAGACGTCCGAGTTTCACTGAAGGCCTTGGTGAAAGCAGGGCTCCATGAATGGACGGTACCCTGAGGGAGATGTTTCAACACATGCAGTTCTGGAACCACTCCTGGCAATTGATGCCAAGCAACTTGGAAGATGGTTACCCGGCCAACTGACCGGAAGAGATCCGTATTTGTGTTCATTCCAAAGAAAGGTGACCTAACAGAATGTGCAAATTTCCGAACACTGCCATTCCTAGCACATGAAAGTAAAGTTTTGCTGAAGATAATTTAAAAAGACACAGCAGTATGCCAACAAGAAACTGTCAGAAGTTCAAGCTGAGTGTAGGAGGAGACATGGAACAAGGGAAGTCATTGCTGATGTGAGATGCGTGTTGGTTGCATAGAATTCCAGAAAGCTGTTTGCCTCTATCTTATTGACAGTGCAAAGGCCACCCACTGGGTGGATCATGACAAACTGTGGATGACATTGTAAAGAATGGGAATTCCAGAACATTTCACTGTGCTTGCTGCCACTGTGGGGCAGTGGTTACCAGATGGGTGGAAAACCACAAGGTCAGCAGTTGGAAACCATCAGCTGCTCAGTGGGAGGAAGACAAGCCTTTACTCCTCTACAAAGTTACAGTCTCAGGGGCAGTTCTACCCTGCCCCCTAGGGTCACTGTGAGTCAGAATCTACTCTAAGGCGGTGAGTTTTTTAGTTAATTGTGCTTATGCAGAACCTATGCATAGACCAGGAGGCAGTATTTTGAACAGAACAAAGGTATACTGTATGGTTTAAAATCAGAAAAAGGTGCATCATGGTTGTAGCCTTTTGCCCTATTTACTTATTTCATCTGCATACTGAACAAATAATCTGAGACACTGGACTGTAGGACGAAAAATTAAGCACCAGGATTGGTGGAAGACAATTTTCAACAGGCAGATGGCCGACTCACTTGCTGAAAGTGAAGAGGGCTTGAAGTATTTACTGATGAATATCAAAGCCTCTCGCCTTAAGTATGGCTTATATCTCCATCTAGAAAGAACAAAAGTCCATAACTAGACTAATAATCAATATCATGATAAACAGAGAAAAGATTGAAGTTGTCAAGGATTTAGTTTACTTGGCTCCACAATCAACCCCTGTAGATGCTACAGTCCAAAAATGAAATGCCATCGTGCAAAAGATTTCTTCAAAATGTTAAAAAAAAAAAAAAAGCACAGAGGTCATTTATAGGAGTAAGGTATTTCTAAGCCATGGTATTTCAATCACCTCATTTGCCTGTGACAATGAATAAAAAAGACCACAGAAGAACTGATGCATTTGAATTATAAATAGAAGGAGGTACCTCCCCCCAAAACAACAACATAAAAAAGCTCCACTGGTCAGAGCTATCACAGTACCCATTTTTCCTGCTAGGCGAACATCCAGCAACTCACTCTGAGTTAGTGCACCCAGTGGCATTGCCTGGGAAGGTTCTCTCTGGTCACAGTGAATTTTTTTGTAAAAGCAGTTTCCCTTGAACCTAGTTTTTTGTGATGGCCAATTTCGGCTGTGAAATTTTGTTTTCTGCTCTGCAGAAACTGTTGTGATGTTGAACACAGCTTACAAGGACAGTGCTATGGGAACGACTCAAGTGTATGAGTGATTTCCTCATTTAAAGAAAGGTGAAATACGGGCAATGAACGCACAAATGTGCTTTACACAATTGATGTATGTATGGATTGTGATAAGAGTCGTATGCGCCACTAATAAAACGATTAAGAAAAAAAAAAGAAAGGTGAAATACAAGGTTTGAACTTGCTCTCTTGTGGACCAGGTCAGAACTCAGCACAATCATGAGTACTGGCAGGACCATTGCTGAGAGACGGCAGCCTTCGTGGACCATGCCAGCAAGCTTTCTGAATCCGTTGGTGTTTTATGTGGACGAGGAGGTGGAGGAGAGTATCTTAGGCTCCTTAGATGCTGACCTTCATCACCTAGAGGAACAGACCAACACCCTCACTGAGCTGGAGCGGGGGTACATCGCCTCTGGACAGATGAGTCACTGATGTGGGACCCAGTGGTGGCTCAGAGGCTTGGCCCTGTGGATCGAACTTGAAATGCAAATTGAACTTGAAAAGCCCTGTCATGGAACTTGAAATGCAAGTCTTCTACCTGGTCCTTCTTCCAGGCCTCCAGATTCTGCAGGAAGTCATGAGACAGGTCTTCTTTGTTTAATGTCCAGTTTTCATGAGAAGTCATGAGACGCCCCTCACCATCCATGTTCAGGAGCCTCGTTTCTGTGCCCATATTTAGAAGACCTGCTTGTGGGAGGTCTCTCTCCTGGATTCAGTGGACCTTCACGTTCGATCCTCCCAAGTCCCTTAAATGTATCTACTGGTAAAGATAACCAATAAAATAGGCAATCCCATAAAAAAAAAAAGGTGAAATGTCAACTGATGACAAATCTTGTTCTGGATGTCCATCAACTTCCTGAATGGATGAAAATGTTGACAAAATTTGTGCACTTGTATTTGAAGACTGATGAGAGACCATTGAAGAGATGGGGGAATTTTCTGGACCATCTTGGAACTCGGTTCAGCACATTTTAATGGAAGATTTGGGAATGAGAAGGGTCCCTGTGAAATTTGTGGCCCTGGTTCTGACTGACCAGGAAAAAAGAGCATCAAGTGGAAACGTGCCTGCTTTGAAACACTGGTTCTCAACCTGTGGGTCGCAACCTCTTTGCAAAATGACAGTGACGAAGTAGCGACAAAAATAATTTTATGGTTGGGCGTCACCACAACAGGAGGGACTGGATGAAAGGGTAGCAGCATGAGGAAGGTGGAGAACCACTGCTTTGAGAGAACAGTTCTGAAGCGACCTTTTGTCCAAAGTCTGGTGACGAGACATGGTGCTCTTCTTATGACCCCGAAAGCAAACATCAGTCAAGCCAGTGGAAGATGCCACCTTTACCTCATCCACAAAGAGCTCTTTGAGTGAAATCAAAGATCAAGGTGATGCTCGTTTGTTTTTTTAATGTGAGGGGATAGTGCATTTGGAGTTTGTTCCAGCAGGTCAGACTGTTAATCCAGCTTTTCGTTTAGAGGTTCTGAAAAGATTGCGTAACAGTGTGTGACCAAAAAAGGCCTGATGGGAGACTGGTTTTGCCACCACAACAATGCACCACCTGCTTTCACAGCCCCCTTAGAGTGCCAGTTCTTGGCATAAAACAGCATGCCTCTCTTGGTCCACACACCTTACTCACCTGACGTTGGCCCGTGTGACTTCTTTTTATTTCCTCGAATGCAGAGGGACATGAAAGGACAGTGATTTTAAGACATAGAAGAGGTGACGAAAAAAAATGAAGGAAGTGCCGTCAGCCATCCAGATGAGTTTGAAAAATGTTTCCAAGAATGGAATCACAGATTTGACAAACATGTTAGGTGTAATGGAGAGTACTTTGAAGATGATAAAGTTGTTTTGTACAAATATTTAATATTTTTGTATTTAAAATATTTAAATACATAGCTTTGGTGGTGGGGGGTGGTGGTAAATTCTGGCATTTTGGGGGGTACCCCTCATATTGAAAAGTACCATGGACTGCTGGAAGAACACTCATTAAAATTGATTGTGGTGATGATTGTACAACTCTTCTTAATACAATTAAACAATTGAATCCTATGGTAGTTAATTATATATCAATAAAACGATTTTTTTAAAAGAACAAACAAATCAGTTGCGAGAAGTCAAGCCAGAATGTGCCTGGGTTGCAAAAATGACGGAACTTTGGCTTTGTGCACCTGTTTGGCCCCTAGACCCGCGCACCGTTGAGGTTCATCTCTTCTCCGAACCCTTTGGACTGGTTTGCCGTCTAAATCAATCAAATTTCCAGGGGTGGGCGGGCCTAGTGGGCTTCACAGACAATTGGCGGACGGGAGATCCCGAAGGACAAATGAGAGAGGTTTCCCAGAAGGAGGCTGGGAGGGGCGGGGCTTGAAACGGCGCCTCCGCGTGCCCGGGCCTCGTGCTGTCTGGCGGGGCCGGAAAGCTGCGCGTGCGCGTGTTGACGCACGAGGCCCGGTGGCGTAAACTCCGGAAGAACCCTGGGCAGCGGCTGGGCGAGCAGGGGTCACCACAGAAAAGGAGCCATTACGCCATCAGCCACGTGGGGCGGGCAAGGGGCTAGGTTCGTTTGGGGCAAAAGAAGGAGAGGCGTGCTTCCTGATTGGGTCTCCACCAACGGTAGCCTCGCCCCCTCCAGCCCTCCTCCTCCCTCTGCACCTTCCCGCCCTCAACTGTCCCACCCTGCTCTGTCCCTTCCTAGACCCCTGGCCTGATGGCCCCTCTGCCCACTTCTGGCCTCCAAAGTCAGTTTATCTTTTCCCCCTGCTTGTGGCTCTCGCTTCTCCTCGTTCGACTTTCTCTATTCTTTCGCGGCTCCCCTACCTCCATGTCGCCCCTGCCCCAAATTCCTTGCCAAGCCCACAAATCCCTCCCCTACCTTCCTCATCCCCTCTTTCGTCGTATTACCCCATGCCCCTGCTCGCAAGAATCCTTTCTGGATTCCCTGACATCTCTTTTCATGCTCTCAACGGATCTCTCAACCCACAGGCTCTGTCCCTGACCTCTACGACTTTGTAAGTCCTCCTTAAACGGTTGTTACCTGGGCCTCTCCTCCCTCCTCCCCTCGTTTGTCTCCTGCAGTCCTGGTGATGGAATGGTTATGCACTGGGCTGTTAGCAGCAAGTTCAGTAGTTGGAAAACATGGGCCGGCCGCTCAGTGGGAGGAAGATGAGGCTTGCTTCTTCCATAAAGAGGATGGGCTAAAGAAAAGTTTTGGTCTGTGAAACCCACAGGGGTACTTCTACCCTGTCCTACCAGGTCACTATCAGTTGGAATCAACTTGATGGCAGTGAGCGTGGGACCCCTCAAGTGCTCTGGTGGTGTGCTGAGTTACAGCAGTTGGCCTACTAACCACATGCACAGCAGTTCAAACCCACCAGAGGCTCTGGGGCAAAAAGATGAGGCTTTGTGCGGTGGTCAAATTCTACAGCCTTGGAAACTCTTAAGAGAGCGGTTCTAGTCTGCCTGGTATGGTTGCTAAAAGAGTCATAAATGACTCACTGCCAGCGAGTTTGGTTTTTGAGCCCTAACTACTAATCTTTGCCACCAGAGAACCAGGGCCTGGGCCTCCAAGTTCTCCTCTGATGTCCATTCCTGCCCAGCGCTGTCCCTGCCGCGGCCATTTGCTCTCAGCCCACTCCCTTCCTTTCTGTTGATCCTTTCAGTAGTACCTCCTCCTCACCCCACACCACCTCCTCTCCTTACCATTCACCTTTAGATCCCTGGCTGATCTGCATGCTACTGAGACCCTGGTCTTTATCTTCCTGGAGACCATGGACCTCCAGGGGCCAGCCTCCCAGCCTTTCCAGCAGCTTGAGAAGCCTGGTCGTGTGCGTCGCCGGAAGACCAGGCGGGAACGGAATGAGGCCCTGGTGAACAGCCGCCGGCCATCCTCCCGGCAGGATCTGCCAGTTGCTAGTCGGAAGCCACTCGGAGCCCTCCGGAACCCCATGGGCCCTGCTGCCTCCAAGCTGGTGGTCATAACCCAAGGCCGGTTGAGCCGGGAGCATTGGGGCCTCTTCAACCATGAGGTGAAATCGTTGGATGTGGCACGCCTGCTTAGCAACAGGGCCCTGGGGCCAGATACCCCCCCACTTCCCACCAGGCCTTCCCCAAGCCTGGGCAGCACCCAAGAACCAGCCCCACAGTCGGGGGACAAGGAGAACCAGTTGCCTAGAGGCTTAGACCCAGCCTCAGCCAGCCCCCCAGAGCTCCCAGCCATGGGCCAGTTGCTTCAGGAGCTGCGGTGCCAGCTGATTCTGCCCCAGGCCTTCTCCAGGAGGAACCTAGTGCAAGAGGCCAGGGATGTCATCGTGACTACCTTACAGACCTGTCATGGCTGTGTGCCTGACCTGGCTGTGGTGCTTCGGGGTTGCCAGTCATCACCCTTGTCAGGTGAGCCCCCCACCCCCACCCCACCCCCACCCCGCCTTTTTGTTCCCCTCCTCTGCTCTAGACCAGCTGCCCCCCTGCTTCTTTCCCTTTGTGCCAGGCACCAAGCCCAGAGACCCCGAGATAAGCCGGATGACACCCTTCTGGATCAACAGCCCTGAGCAGGCCCCAGGAGGGAGATGGCAGAGCAGACAGCAAGGGACAGAGGGGCCTGCCTTCACTATGGCTCCCACCTCTAGCACCTCCCCTGTCCATAGGGCAAACCTGGCCCTACCAAGGGGTCCCTGCTCACCTCCTCGGTCTTCCTTACCTTCACCATCCAGGTCGGCCTGGGGTCCCCCAACAGCCTTTGACTTGCTGAAAAGCATCTGGCTGGTAGCCACACCCCCCACTCCCCGGCCCTGGGGGATTAGCCCACCCCATCCCCTGCCTCAGCCACCTTCTCCGTTGCTGCCCAGAAACTTGGCTCTAGACTGGAGCCCCACACCCCCTGCCCCACTACCTAGCCTCTCTTGGGTGGTAGCACAGAACAGCCCTGAGTCTTGGTCCTTCCCCCCCATGAGACTGTACTGAAAGGACTGGGGCTAGGGTTGGGGACAGGAATCCCCAACTCCCCATCACCTCAATAAAAGATATTCTCTGTGACCCTCTGGACTTTGGGTGAGTGGCTGGAAGGGGACAAGGGCTTAGAAGAAGCAGCTTTCCCCAGCTTCTGCGGCCTGTGTCCAAGGTGGAAGGGAAGGTGTGGTCACGTGCTCCTCGCCTAGGTCTCATGGGGATGGGGTGAGGGATGGGACCTAGGGCCTCAGTTAATTTGACTCACATGCACGCAGCCTGGTCCAGAAGGTTCCAGTCTCTGAACTTTAGGAGGGCTCCAGAGAAAAGACCCTGTCCTCATGAGAGAGAGAGAGAGAGAGAGAGAGAGAGAGAGAGAGGTGCAGGCTAGGGGCTGCCTAAGTGGGGGGAACTGTGCCTCAGTGATGAGACCAAAAACCCCCCACTGCCATGGAGTGGATTAGAACTGCTGACCCTAGGGTTCCTTCCAGCGACCAGAGAGGACTTGACACAGATGCTGGGCTTTACCAGCATGAAGAGAAACTTGTTCAAAGCAGAAGGAACCCTGGTGGCGCAGTGGGTAACTGTGTTGGGCTGCTAACATCAAGGTCAGCAGTTCGAAAACTGCCAGCCACTCCACAGGAGAAAGATGAGGCTCTCTGCGCCCATGAGGACTTAAGAGTCTCAGAAAACCCAGGAATGGTGCTATTCTGGCAGTGAGTTGAGCAGACAGAACAGGGGAACCCACACAAGGCCGAAAGCCCTCTGCCATCCAGTCAGCTCTGACCCAGAGAGGCCCTTGGGGAGCAGATAGGGTTTCCGGCCAGCACTGTTCCTCTACATTCGCTACAGCCTCATCCTTCTCTTGAGGTGTAAGGCTGGGAGGAGGGCAAGTAATGGGTGTGGGGTCCCCTCTCAGGGGCTCCTGGTCTGCCAAGGCTTAGGGAACAGTGTGTGTGCAGGAAGGAAGAGGGGGGAAACCCCACAGCTTGAGGCTGGCACATAGATTTCTTTGCCCGGGATATATTTTACGTTTTCGAATCAGTTGCCGCGACATTACAAGTCATTGGGCTTTCCGGCTTCTGTCTCTGAGAACAAAATTAAAACTCAGACAGCAGACCTTCAGTCCCACGTGGTAACAAGAGGCCCATGCCAAGTGGCAGTGCCCCCTTTTCACAGGGCCCAGGTGACAGTTGTGTTGGATTTTCATTTCTCACTTCTTGTTCCTGGCTTTCACCCACATTTCTGTTGTTCATTCCCCTAGGGAGGAGGTTATACATCAATCATTGCGATTGGTTCCCCCTTTTCCCCTCTTCTTGTTTTGAGCAGCAGTAACTTTCTTGTGGATTCTGAGGGGTTTACACCCTGTAAAGCCGCCATGGGCTCCCACTGCCCAGTGGGAAATGAGAGGGTGGGGGTTGAGGTTCTGGCCTGGGAGCTCCCAGAGCTGAGTGACCGGGCCATCGTCAAATGGCGAGACCACGCCTGGCCTTCTCCGAGTGTCACCTCTATTTCACAGCCGCTTGGTGTCACGCTCTCCGGTGTCAGGGACAGGGAAGGGCCGGGCGGAAAGGCTGGGCACGCTGGCTCTGCCACCTCTGTGCTGTGTAACCCACGACCAGGGGCTCGCCTTCTCTGTGGCTGTGTCTCCACTGCCCTCAGCGGGCAGCTCAAGGCTCAGAGCAGAGTAGCTGTCCTGAGCGAGGGCTGGGTAATCCAAGAGCCATTTGGTGGCCGAACCAGGGGCAGGTGAGGACAGGGCGGCGGAGGGCTTGTGGGCCCCCCCGGAGCTGGTGGTTGGAGAGGCACACCTGAGCTCAGCTTGGGTCACGGGAGGACGGAGGCCTCGGCGAGGTGCTGCGTGGGGCGCGCTGGCACCAGGTGGGGCTGGCAGGGACTGGGAGGGCATGCCCTC